GGATCCGAACCCTCGGGTGGGAGCGCCGCCGCACTTCCCAAGCGGCGCACTTATCCAGTGCGCCACCGGGCTGGCCCTAAAAATAATTTTAAATGAACTATAAACAATCAGTTCAGTAAGCTAGGGCAGTTAAATATTCCAGTCTCAAATCTGAATCAAAACTCATCTCTTCCCAGCCTCTTGTGCTGGGCAGGCTTCAGTTTTCTGGGGGATTTGTAGTGGAGAGGGGTGTGGGAGAGCTTTAAAGACATCTCTCTTCCCTTCTTGGGCGTAGCTTCTTGGGGTGGTGGCCCCAAGTGGGGCCTGTCATGTGTCACTGGCTGCTTGTTAGTGGTGAGGAAGAGCCTGTTATCACTGTGGCTAGGTCTGGTTCTGTGAGACATCTCTCTTCCCTTCTTGGGCGTAGCTTCTTGGGGTGGTGGCCCCAAGTGGGGCCTGTCATGTGTTACTGGCTGCTTGTTAGTGGTGAGGAAGAGCCTGTTATCACTGTGGCTAGGTCTGGTTCTGTGTGCTGCTGGCAGCCTCTGTTGCTGGTTTTCTTGGGGCTCTGCTCAGCTTCGTCCTGGCCCTTGTGCGGCTGAGGATCTCCCAGAGAGAGTCAGCTAGGACTCTCTTCAGTCTCTGCGAGGAATTCCCCCAACCCGTCCCCCCTTCCCTTTGCAGCCCATCATTCCCACCATGGCCTTACTCCTTCATCTGAATCCTAGAAAGATCCAGAGGGAGCACGATGGTGGGGAAAAAGGCCCAGCAGATCTCAGCACAGTCCCTGCTGGCCTATCTGGCTCTGCTGTTCCCACAGGCCTGTGTGATAAGGCAGGGACTCTCATTTCAGGTCACACATGTTCCTAAATCCAGGAACGTCAAGCTCTCCAAGGATGTCCTCCCTCCTTCTGCTGAGATCACAGCACTAGGAATTTCAGCTCAGCCTGTGTCTGGCCAGTCTCCCTGTCCTGCCAGGCACTCCTTCTTGTTCCTGGAGGAATACCCCTCACTGGCTTTGCAGGGTGTGGGGGGATTGATTTCTTCTCTGCAAACATTACACTGCTGATAACTCACCCCCATTCTTTTAAAAACTTTAATAAGGTATAACATACAATGAACTACACATATTTAAAATGTACAATGGTCAGTATACACGTGTGTATACACCTGTGACTTTTCCTGTCCCTTGCCCCCAGTCTTCTGTAGATAGGAGGAGTGGGTGGGTTGTGGCTGGTGGTAGCTATAAGGGCTGGCGGTGTTGGGGAGGGGCCAAGTTGTAGCCCTACTTGTTTGTGGATCTTCAGAATGTAGGTACTTAGCATTTGTCCCTCTGTGCTGTGGGACCTTTGCCACCAATTCAGGGGCAAGGGTCAAAGGAGTGTCTCGGTTGTTCCCCAAGGAGCTCCTTGTGTGAGGGGAGATGGAGCCCAGCATTGGGGCTCTGACATTGCCCTTCTACTTTAGTCAGAGTGACTTATGATTTCCTCTGTTTTACAGGTGGCCTCCTCTAAATAAGATTTCCCTTTGAGCACAGGGGTTCTATGACTAAAACATGCTGGAAACCAACCACTAGAGGCAGATGATGAGGAGCCCCTGGGCAGCTCTAAGTTGAGGGGTGGCCTGCTCAGAGATCACCTTGTATTGCAGTGTGGGGAGCAGATCAGTGGGACCAGAGTGGACTTGGGGAGCCCTGCCAGGAGGCAGGATGGAGAGGAGAGAATTGTTTGGACATGAAGGTGTGGGAGAGGGAGGAGACTGGGAAAACACCTTGCGTTTAGGTGTGGGTGGCAGGTGGGCAGTAGTGCGATTTATTGGGGTGCAGAACACAAGGGGAGGAGGAGGCGGTTTTAGGGGAAGATACCTGATTTTTTTACACTGTGTGTCCCAGCATTAACAGGAGCATGCTCTTTATTGTACAGTATGTTTTCATCCACACCACACCCTCTTCCCAGCCAGACCCACACAACCACAGAAAAGGAAGCTCGTGTGAAAGCAGCAGGAAATGAGTTAATAGATTTGTTACAGGTTTTCAGTGAAATTTTTTCAAGTGCAATCATGGGGATTTCACTTGGCTGCAGCAAGCTGAGGTCCTGGGTGGGGTCAGCCCATGCTCTGGGGCAATCAGTGGTACATCTCTGTGTCACAAGCTTGAGGATGGGCTCAGCTTGGTTCCTGCTCTTTGCTAAAGGCTTTTGAGGCTGGCGGCTTGGGAAGGATGTGGGCTTGCAGCAGGGTCACCATGGTGGGGAGGGGGATGTGGTGTGTTGAGGTCAGATGGCTCTGAAGGACTGATGTGGATGTTGAAGTAGCCTGAGATATTGAAGTTGTCATTTCTGAGTCAGACTAGGAGCCAGAGGACTTTGGAAGTGGTTTTGAACTTTGAAATGACACAGGTCAACATTTCTCATGGAGTACTGATAGAGGAAAGTGGCCTCAGGTCAGAGTATACGGGAAACATCAGGTTGTGCAAAGTGAGCAGATTTCTCTATTGCAGGGCTTCTTGGAGCCTTAGATTGATGATGCACACCAAGTTTCTGAGAGAGGGATATCATAGGTAGGCTTTCTGTATGTACTTGCTTCTCTGAAACCTTTCTTCATAGTGCATTGTGAGGGACAAGTGTTTCTTAGAACACACTTTGGAAAATGTAGAAATACTTCTTTTCTTTGTTCCTTGTATTGCAAAGAAACCAAAGTTTTTGTTATAATTTTGGAATTCAGAATTTAGTAAACTTCCACTTTAAGTGGTTGTCCTGTTCTCCCTGCCTCTCTAAACATTTGATTCCTTCATCAGAATTTATTTCCTAGTGGCAAATAGGCTGTGTGTGAAGAATTTTATTGTTTATTTTTTAAGGTGTTTAAATTCTGGTGGCCTCTGAGTATATAGTAAGAGGGCTATCCTTCCCACTGGACACATCCTGGGTTGTTGTTGTTCTGGGCCACCAGGTCCTCAACTCTTCTAACCTTTGTGCACCTGGCCAAGTGCAAACAGGGGTCATGGAGGGAGGTTGACATCAGCATGGAGACCCAGCACTCTGCACCAAGATGCTGTAGTTCAGTCCTTCCACAGTGACCAGCCCTCTCACTCCTTGTGCAAGTTATTATTTGCCCATCTCTTTGAAAGTCCAGATGTCAGTCTCATTTCCTACCCTGGGATGGCCCTTTTAAGCTTGTTTTATGAGCCAAACATCAAAACACACACACACACACACACACACACACACACACACACACACACACAAAGACCACCATCTTTCCTGGGGAATATGCTCATAGTGACCTTTCTCCTTTCCCATCTCAGGAACTGGATGCATTTCAACCATACCCCGTTGAAATAATTCCGGGCAGGGTCTTCCTGGGAAACTTCATTCAAGCCTGTGACCCTAAAATTCAGAAGGATTTGAAAATCAAAGCACATGTCAATGTCTCCATGGAGGCGGGGCCCTTGTAAGTAAAGGAGCTACTACTGATTGCTTTTTTAGGTTAAATATTGCTTATTTATTCAAGATTCCTAGTGACATGCATTTATTGAGTAGAAAAGGCTCTTAGAAGCCAGCACCCGTTGGAGCAGAGTTGGCTGTTACATTCATCTGTTCCTGGCCTATAGTCTGTTTCCTGTCCTGGCCTTAGGATCCTCTGCCCCAGACTGTGACCTTATACTTGCCTTTAAATCTTATCAAAATTCATGCTTTCCTGGATTTAACATTACTGTACAAAAGCCTATAGTCTGTTTCCTGTCCTGGCCTTAGGATCCTCTGCCCCAGACTGTGACCTCATACTTGCCTTTAAATCTTATCAAAATTCATGCTTTCCTGGATTTAACATTACTGTACAAAATGTCCTGTTCTAACCAACTTTTCCTTTTTCAGGCACTCTGATAAATGCCCCCGCCCCCCATCATTGTTCAGTGAGCAGGAATGCCCTGCATGGCCTTGTTTGTCAGCCCCTGTCTTCTCAGCCATATCCAGTCATTGGTTTCTAAGGTCCAACGTGGTCTCCAAGGTACCCCCCTCCTATTTCAGCTCCTGATCAAAGCTAATAAAGACTCATCTCAAAGAGAATTTGTGTAAATAATACAAGATTCAGTAAAGTATCTTGTAACAAAAAATACCGTACAAAAATCAATGAATTTGATTTATTGATATAAAAACAACAATCAGTAAAAGAAAAAATATTCAGTTTACAATAGGAAGAAGAAATGATAACATTCCCAGGAATTAACAAGAAACATGCAGGGCCTATGTAAAAAAACAAAACAAAACAAAAAAAGAAGTTTGTGGAAGGAGATAAAAGAAGTTATGGACAATGGGAAAGACTTTCTTGGATAGTAGGTCTAATATTGTGATAATGTCAGTTATCTCTGAATTAATATATAGATTCAAAAAGATTTCACTCAGAAAGTGAGTTATGTATGTGTAACTAGACAATTTGAGATTGAAGTTCAAATAGGGAACTAAATAGTTTGTGATGAATAAGGACTAGGAGATTCAGGCCAGCAAGAGTAACTAGAAGGGAATTCAAATATTAAATCTTCTGCTTTATGTATCAGAGAGTGGAAAAAACAGTGAAGAATTAGTGGAAATATCTAGGAGAAGAAAGAAGACTAAAGAGATGAGTCCAGAACTTGGTGCTGCTTTTCCATGAGGGATGTCTGCTGAGTCTAGAGAGAAAGAGTGGGGCAGAAGTAGTATCTAAAAAGGTAATGGCTGAGATTTTTCCAAAATTGATGAAGTATATCAAGCCATAGATTCAAGAAGACTTATAAACTCCAAGCAAAATAAATCTAAATATTAAAAACAGCAGAGAAAAAAGACATTACTTTCAAAGGAGAAAAAATTAGAATGATGGATTACTTTTCAGTAGAAACAATTGAAACTAGAAGAAAATGGAATGTAATCTTTGTGGTTGGTAGCCTTTCAGGTGATCCCCACCTCCTCATATTCACACCATTGACTGTGGGCTGGACTTACTGATGTGCCTCTAATGAATATCATAAATTGAAAGTGATGGGCTGTCGCTTCTCAGATTAGGTTACAGAAAGACATTGGCTTCTGTCTTGCTCATTCTCTCTTGATGTCTTGCTTGTTCTCTCTGAAGGAGAGGAAAGTGCAGAGACAGAAAACATCTTTGAAGAAATAGAGAAAAAAGTTTTTTTCAAATTTGATAAAACCTATAAATGCACAGATCCAAGAATCTCAACAGAACCCAAGCATAAGAAACGTGAGAGACATTACAGCAACACACATCATATCAAGTTGCTTACAACGAGTGATAAAAGACAAAATCTTAAAAGCAGCTAGGGATAAAAGGTTACATACCAAAGAACAAAGGTGAGGATGGTAGTTGACTTCACATTGGAAACAATGAAATTGAGAAGACTTTGAAGTACTGAAAGGAAAAAACTCTGTCAGCCTAGAAATCTACATAATCAATGAAAACATCTTTTAGAAAGGAAGGCAAAGGCCGTTTGGTTAGCTCAGTTGGTTAGAATGTAGTGTTGATAACACCAAGGTCAAGGGTTTGGATCCCTGTACCAGCCAGCTGCCCACCCTCCCACAAATAAATAAAAATAAAAATGAAGGCAAAATAAATATTTTTCCAGATGTATAAAAGCTGAAAGAATTAATTATCAACAGACATGAAGTACAAAAAGTGTCGAAGGAAGGTCTTCAGACAGAAGGAAAATGATATCAAATGGAAATCTGAATCTCTACAAAAAAAATGAAGATTGTCGGAAATAATGATTATGTAGGTAAATGTAAAATGCTTTCCCCCTTGTTTTTAAATCTCTTCAAAATATAACTGATTGTTTAAAGAAAAAATAATAACATATTTTGGGATTATAGGATAGGTAGAACCAATATTTATGCTTACAATCTATTTACAAAGGCAGGAAGAGGGAAACATGTAAGATTACATGTATACACATGTAAGATTTTGCAGTATTCACATGAAGTGGTATATATTACATGAAGGTAGGCCATCACAAGTTAAAGATGTGTTCTATAATCTCTTTGTGTGTGCGTGCGTGTTCTATGATCTTTAAAGCAACTGCCAAAAACCAAAACAAAGGACAAAAAGATAAAATTAATAAGACAAATAAGGAGATAAAATGGAATCATAAAAAGTAATGCAGAAGAAGTCAGAAAAAGAGGAAAATGGGAACAAAGAAGAAATGGGGCCGGCCCGGTGGCGCACTGCTACAGTGCGCTGCTTGGGAGTGTGGCGGCGCTCCCGCCGAGGGTTCGGATCCCACATACAGACCGGTTCCTGCTCACTGGCTGAGCGAGGGGCGGGCGCAGCACCGAGGGTTGCGATCCCGTTGCCGGTCCCGGTCCGGGCGCGACACTGAGGGTTGCGGTCCGTTGCCGGACACGAAAAAAGACAAAAAGGAAAAAAAAAAAAAGAAAGAAATGAAACCAATAGAAAACAAATAGCAAGGTGGTAGATTTAAACTCAATAATTGTGTTAAGTGCAAATGGTGTGAATACCCCAGTGAAAAGGCAAAGGTTGTAGGCTGCCTGTAAGAAATGTACTCTAAAGATAGCTTAAAAGTAAAAGGATGGGTAAAGATATTCTAGGCTAAGACTAATGAAAGAAAACAGCCTCTGGAGTGGTTATATTGTCATCAGATAAAGTAGACTTCACAGCAAAGAATACTACCAGAGGTAAAAAGGCTAAAAATAAATCAGTTAAGCATTCATCTCAAGAAATTACTAACAGAACATCAAATTAAGCCCAAATAAAGAAGGAAGGAATAATAAAACCAAATTATTGAAATAGGAACAATAAAATAGAGAGGATCAAGCAAATCAAAATAGTTTTATAAAAGCTAATAAAGTTGGTAGTCCCTTGGCAAAAAGGAGAGATGGCACAAATAACTAATGTGTAAAAGGAGACTACATATTCTATAGATCTTAAAAAGGTCATAAGAGAATACGAGGGTACTTCAGAAGGTTCATGGAAATTTTAATGCTATTTTTCCTTAAACTTTTTGAAATATACCATTGTGTTATGAAAACTATATCATGATAAATATGAAAATTTGGATGAAAATAACAAATTCAAAAATATAAATCAAAGCTGACATCAGACAAAATAGAAAATTTAATTAGTATCAATAACTAATAAAGAACTTTACCACAGGGAAAATTCCAGGTCTAGATAGCTTCAGTGATGAATTTTATCTAATATTTAAGGAAGAAATAAAGCCATTATTAAGCTTTTTTCTTTTCAGAAAATAAAAAAGAGGAAGAATTCTCAACTTTTACGAGACCAGCTTAATTGTGATTTTCTAACCTGACAAAGACATTATAATACAGGAAAATTACAGACTAATTTTCTTCATGAACATGGATGTAAACATCCTAAATAAAATATCAACACATTCAATACAGTGATATGTGAACAGGATAATACATAATGACTAAATTGGGTTTATCCCAGGATACAAGGTTGTTTCATCATCTGAAAAATCAATCCATGTAATTGAGCATATCAATAACATAGAGGAAAAACTAGGATCATCTCAATAGATGCAGTGAAAACATTTGATAGTATTCATTATGCATTCGTAATTTGAAAAAAAAAACTCTTAGCAAACTGGGAATAGAATGGAACTTTGTTGATTTAATTTTTTAAAATCTACAAAAATCTCTGCAGCAAACACCACATTTAACGATGAAATGTCAAAAAGAAAACAATCAATGAAATGCTGAAAGTTTTCCCTCTGAGATTAGGAACAAAACAAAGATGCCACCATTACCACTGCTATTTAACGTTGTACTGGAGGTCCTAGCTTGTGAAAAATGGCAAGAAAAGAGATAAAGAAGCAGCAAAAGGGAAAAAATAAAACTTTCATCACTCAGACAATATAATTGTACACACAGAAAAGCCAAAACGACCTGCAGTTAGACCTAATAAATAAGATTCTTGGACATAAGATCAATATATAAATATTAAAATACACACACATACACACACACAATTATCAGTTGTTTTTCTGAATCCAATGAGAAATAGAAAAGGAAATTTAAAAAATATACAATTTACAATAGAACAAAAATGTTATATACCTAGGAATATACCTAATGAAGGACGTACAAGATAATATCTACACAAAAAATTATGCAGCATTACTATAAGTTAATAAGATTACCAGACTAAATGAGGGATATGCTATGATTATGAATTAGAAGAGTTGATTTTGTAAAGATGTCACTTCTTACCCAGTTGATCTATAGATTCAGTATAATGTCAATAGATTTCCAAAAGGTTTATGGAAATAGATACAGTAATTCTAAAATGTATATGGAAATGCAAAGGGCAAAAACAGCTGAATATTGGAGAACTGCAAATGGGAAGATTTAGTTAACCAGTTATCAAGACTTAAAATAGTAAGGCCTTGTGATGTTGGTATGAGGGTAGGAAAATGAACCATTGCAGCGAAATAGGGTCCAAATGTCATCCCATTATATATAACACTTGAATTTTTACAGATTTTTCACCTATGTTTTTTTCTAGAAATTTATAGTTTTAACTTTTACATTTTGTGATCCCTTTTGAAATAATTTTTGGTTTTGGTGCCAGATATGAAAGTTTATTGTTTTGCATATGGGTAGCTAATTGTTCCAGCATCATTTGTTGAAAAGATTATCTTTTTTCTGTTGAACTGCTTTGGAGTTTGTTGAAAATGAATTGCCCGCATATAGGGCTATATCTAGATTCTTTATTCTTTTCCATTGATCTATGTCTTTCTTTACATCAATTCCACACTCTTGATTACTGTGGCTTTATAATAAATATTGAAGTCAGGTACTGTTGGTCCTAATTTTGTTCTTTTTCAAAGTTGTTTCCTTTGCATTTCAATATAAATTTTAGAACCAGCTTGTCAGTTTTTGCAAAGAATCCTGTTGAAAGAGATTTTGACTGGGATTGAATTGGATCCATAGGTCAATATGGGGAACACTGACATCTTAACATTGTTGAGTTTCCTGTTGCATGATCATGATCTATCTCTCCATTTACTTTGGTCTTTAATTTCTCTCAGCAATCTTTTGTAGTTTTCAGTATAGATGTTATATATTTTGTGTCAGATTTCTTCCCAAGTTTTGTTCTTTTTTGATGCAATTATAAATGGTATTTTTAAAATTTCAGTTTCTGATTATTTATTGCTAGTATATGGAAATCAGGTAGATTTTTATATATTGACCTTGTATCCTTCAGCCTTCTCCTTCCAGATACCTCCTCCATTGTGAAGCTCTCCCCAGCTCCCCTGACTTCTCTCTGACCCACCTCCCCAGTATTATGTGCAGGTCCTTATCCAAACACCTAGCCAATTGGATTGGGGCCATTTGCTTATATGTCTGCCTCCCCCATCAGACTGGGAGCTCCTTGGGAGCTGGGGGGGCCCTATTTTATTAATCTCTTGTCTACTGGGATCCAGCCCAAGGTCTTGCACATAACAGGCATTAATTGAATGTCTGAGTGAAGAATGGATGGGTGGGGATAGATGGATGGATGGGAAGTGATGGACGGATGGATGGATGGAGGAGGAGTGATGGATGGAGGGATGATGAATGGGGAGTGATGGATGGATGGGGAGTGATGGATGGATGGAGAGATGGATGGATGGATGGGGAAGGATGGATGGATTGAGGGATGGAGGGGTGGGATGGGGAGTGATGGATGGATGGAGGGAGGGATGGATGGAGGGATGGTGAATTGTGCTTGTACTTGTCACAGCAAGTGCTCGTGCAGAAACTGACTCAGCTTATATATGTTTCTGAATCTGCTGCAACTTCCTGAAAGCTGCAGTGGTCTGCATTCTCCTGAATGTCACCAGGAGACCATAGTCTTCATGAATAACATTAACACCATGCTTACTGCGTGCCAGGCATTGTGCAAACTCCTTGCAGGCATCCTCTCATGCACCATGCCTCATCACCCTCTTCTCCCTCCTTGTTCATAGAGCTCCAGCCACTCTGACCTCCCTCTTGTTTCTCAAGTACACTAAACACACTGCCTCTTAGGGCCTTAGCATTTGCATTCTCCTTTACCTGGAAAGCTTTCCCCCAGATATCTGCCTGGCTTGCTGCTTTATCTCATTTAGCCCCTGCTCAAATATCACCTCCCTGTCCACCCTCATTTAATTATCTGCACCATGTTCTAGGAAAGCACCATGTTTTTGGTTAATAATAATAGTAATGTTACATGTATTGAGTGCCTATTATGTGTCAAAGAGATTGCTAAATGCTTTACATAGATTAATTCACTTGATCTGCACAACACTCTTATGAGGTAGCTGCTTTTATTCTGAGAAGTTCAGTTACCGCCCTCAGCTGCCAGCCCAGCATCCTTCCCCTGTGGTCCTGCTGCTGTGGATGAGGGATGCTGCAGTGAGGGTGTGTGCAAGTCTGTCTGACCACCTGTGCTGTTCTTCTGTTTAGTTTTGTAGGGGACCCTGACAGGCTTCTGCACGTCCAGATAGAAGATTCCTCGGAAGCCAGGATTTTCCCCTTTTTACGCCACATCTGTCACTTCATTGGTAAGGAGCATTCCCTAAAAAGGTAGCAATTGGTGTGTTACTTTTAGTGCTCAGGAGAGAAAGGGCAAGGTCTAGCCCATGCCGAGCTGGGTGTGGACAAGCCCCAGGACAAGTACAGCTTCTCAGGAGCCCTCAGCAATATGAGCAGCCATGGCATTTTCTGTGGGGGCCATGGGGCCCAATAAGAGCACCAGACTGTGGGTTGGGGCCCTGTGTTCTGGCCATGGCTAGACTGCTATGCTTTTTTGGGCCCGTCATAAAATGAGGGTGTTGGCCAACCGTGGGTGCCCACATTCGTGGACGCCTGCCCTGGGCTGGGCTTTGTGGACCTGGAGGTGAATCTCACTGCATCCCTGCCCTCATCTCTGGTCAGCGGGGTTGGATGGGGTGGGGTGGAAGGAAGATTCCAAAGCCCTTCCAACTCTGACTTCCACAATTCTGTGTGTGTGCACCCAGCCCCCTGTGCTCCCACCATGTACAAACAGTGCCCACCAGTTGCTTAATTCATCAAGGGTGGGTTTTCAGTCATTCCCAGGGCTCAGGATTGCCTGAGGAGAGCAAGATCCTTGGATAGGGCAAGGCCGAGTCAGGTAAGAGGCCACACCCCAAGACTACCTGCCCGGTACCCACACAGCTCCCAGCCTGAGGAATGACATTTTGGCCCAATCATCCCTTATTTGCCCAGCAGATCACAGCTATCACTTGACTAGCATCTGAGACTGAGACTTCCCATGTGTCCCACCATGACATGGCAGAGCTTTGTGGCACAAAGAGGCCTCTTCTCTAGCCCTTCCCCACTGGGGAGCTCTGGGCCAATCCTTAATTCATTTGTGCCTCAGTTTCCGTGTTCACAGAATGAGGCAGTTGGTCTTAATCATCTCTGAGTCCACCTTTAGCCCTGACAGTCTATAATTTTCACTTGGTGTATTCGTCTTCACTTCTTGGGGGTTACCAGACCAGGATGCCAGCTTAAACTTCCTCCCATCCCTCACTAGGTGAGACTCAGCTTCAGAAGCTAAGTTTATAGCTGACATTTCTGTGGCAGGCACTGGGCTAAGCACAGAACAAAACTGAACCCTATAAGTTGGTAGTGTACTGTTATTTCATTTTCCAGGTGAGGAAACTGTTGTTTACAGTAACTAGCCCAAGCCCCAGTGAATGGCAGAGCCAGGACTGGCACCCAGGCTACACTGTCTCTGTCAGCACCCAAGTGTCTTTGGGTGGTGATCCCATCATCCCCACCCTGGGAGGGCAACTGGGTGCCCAGCATGGTGCTCTTGAACTGCCAGACTATCTGAGGATCCCTATCAGCCAGACAACAAAACAGTGTCCTAGAGAAGTCATGTGACTTGCCCAGGACATGGCGTGCTGGTTCTGAATTCACTCTCAGGCCTACTGAGGTCAGGCCTCTGACAGCAACCCAGGTCTGCAGGGAGGAAGGCCATGCACAACACCCCTCCCCCCGCTTCCTTCTTTTGCAGAAATTCACCTTGAGCTTGACTCTGTCATTTTGGTCTTTTCCACTCGGGGTATCAGTCGCAGCTGTGCAGCCATCGTGGCCTACCTCATGCACCAGAATGAGCAGACCTTGAAGGTGCACATCCCCTCGGCCAGGCTTGGACCCAGCCACCCCCAGGCAGGGGGGTCAGAGCTAGACCTGTGTATCGACCCATTTCTGTTGCTCATAATGGAATACCTGAAACTGGGTAATTTGTAAAGAAATAGAATGCATCCCCTCGGCCAGGCTTGGACCCAGCCACCCCCAGGCAGGGGGGTCAGAGCTAGACCTGTGTATTGACCCATTTCTGTTGCTCATAATGGAATACCTGAAACTGGGTAATTTGTAAAGAAATAGAATTTATTTCTTACAGTTTTGGAGGAAAGGAATTCCATGGTCAAGGGAACACATCTGGTAAGGCCTTGTTTGTGGGTGGTGACTCTCCACAGAGATACAGGATATCACATGGCCTAGCAACCTCCTCACTTGCTCTCCTTTTAAAGCCATCAGAACCACTCCTGTTATTCCATAAATGGATCAATCCGGTCACAAGGGCACAGTCCTCACAACCTAATCACCTCTTGAAGGCCCGCTCTCTCAATGCTGTCACAGTGGGAATTAAGTTTCTAATACATAAAAATTTGGGGGACACAATTCAACCGATGGCAACCTGAGAGGAACTGGGTCCCTGCACTACCTTGGGGCTCTAATTGGGGCATGGGAAGGGGAAGAATTGGGGAAGGGAACTCCAAGTCTAGGGTGTTATCTAGCACATAGCACCCAAGGGCTAGGTCCCCATGTTGCAGGCTAGGGGCCTGAAGCTGTGACATCAGAGGCCTGAGGTGGGGCACACAGGCCAGTCCCAGGGACTCAGGCTGGGCTGGGCTGTGGCAGGCAGTGCTGTCCACATAGCTGTCACTGCCATCAGTCTACTCACCAGCGTTTGTTTGGCGATGTCCCAGTGAGAGCTACTTGGAGTCACAGAATTGCAGCACTGGTGGGGCTTCAGCAGGCCCCACTCCAAGCATCTTCCTTTACATTGACAGCCATCATGCCAAACCCCAGGGGTGGTGGGTCCTCAGGGCTCCTGACCCCCAAGCAGTGCTTTCTTGGGGGTCTGCCCCAGGGGGAGGGGAAACCTTGCCTGTCACAACCTGTTCATGGTCTCAGAGGGCTTGGGTAGCACCTGAAAAATCCCCACAATTGCCCAGGGGTGTGTTTGGGGGGAGAAGAGGCACAAAGAACAACCATGGTCAGGGCCCATGGCCAGTGGTTTTGGAGGCTGACCAGCGTGCTCTTTGGTGGTGATGTCACACACTAGAAAGAGTCCTGGATATCTTACACTTCCACTCTGGGTATTACCCAAAAGAAGTGAAAGCATGGATTCAAACAGATCTTTGCACACTTGTGTTCATGGCAGCATTATTCACAATAGCCAAAAGGTGGAAACAACCCAAGTGTCTATCCATGGACAGATGACTGGGCATACAATACATGATGTGTATGTACAGGGGAATATCATCCAGCCTGACAAAGGAAGGAAGTCCTGACACGTGTTACAACATGGATGAACCTTGTGGTGGTTATGCTAGGTGAAACAAACCAGTCACAAAAGGACATATATTTAATGATTCCATTTATATGAGGTATCTAGTGTAATCAAAATCATAGAGACAGAAAGTAGAATGGTGGTTGCCAGGGGCTGGGGAGAGCAGGGAATTGGGAGTTGTTGTGTATTGGTGTACAGAGTTTGGGAAATAAAAGTTCTGGAGATGGATGGTGGTGATGGTTGCATAACAATGTGAATGTACTTGATGCCACTGAACTGTACACCTAAAAATGGTTAAGAGGGTAAATTTTATATTACGTATATTTTACCACAATTTAAAAATGAATCTGGATGCAGAATCAGAGGGCTTGGAGTTAGGCCCAGCTCCGTGTTTTCTTACACCATCCAAGGTAAATTTTGGGGGGGTCCCCATGCTGGGATCACTGGCTGCTTAAGGAGTATTTTGGTGTGTGCTGGGGGAGGTGAGTGATGTCACTGATAAAGCTTGGGAGGGAAGGCTGTGCAGAGATGCTTCACTAGCCCCCTCCCTAGGAATCTGTCCTTGCACAGGCCTGTTTCCTGCCTTGTGTACTGGTGGGAGGAGAAGTCTGGGAGCTGGCTCTTTTCCCAGCTGGGCTGGAGACAGAGCTCACCTGCCTGCCTGCCCACAAGGTCCTTAGGGACTCCCAAAACTTAAGCTCCCCTGGATATTGAAAGGGGCCAATCTGGTGACCTTCACCAAGCTCCTGCCCTGCTGTGGTCCCTGATTTCCACATGAAGGCTTAGTCACAAATAGGTCTTCAGAGCCCTCCAGCTCTGACATTTAGTGTGTTTTCTGACCCTTACAAAAAAAATAACAGTCCTCTCTCTGGCCATATCAAAAGCAGATGTCACAGGCTGCTTGCCAGGACTGGCCAGGGCAAGAGCAAAGTGAGGAGGACCCTGCCCCTGCTCGGCTCGCCCCAGGCCCCCAAGGCAATGGAGTACACACAGGCTCAGCACCCCGACCTTTACTGCCCCTTCAGGGAGATGCACAGCCCATCTTGTCTGGGCTTGGTCATCCTGGTCAGTGGATGGACAGGTGCTTGGGCCCCTGAGGTTCAGGTGATTCTGCTCTCAGGAGAACCCTGGTGCTCCCTTCCTGGAACAGCAATCTGTCTCATCTGAAGGGAAGTCCTTTGCTGGATGCTCTGCCCAGAGATGCCATGTAGATAACTCTTGGCCAAAAAACTGTGCAGCCTGTGGAGCTGTGGTCAGGAAGGACTGCCACCATATCCCTGGTGGCGATTAGCTTTTTCTGCTACCGGGTCACTGACACAGGCTGACCTGGGCTTGACTCTCTGGGAGATGTTCCTGCCTCCTGTTGTCTGTGTGGTTCTGGCATCCTCGGGGGCAGGCTCCCTGTCTGTGCATTGGGGATGCCATGCCCTCTGGCTGCTGTCAGCTCAGCTGTGATGATCAGCATCCTCGGGACTGGCAAAGAAGGGTGTGTGCTCTGCAACATACTGCTTCCAGGGCCCGAGCCCAGCTCGTTGGGGGATAAGGCCAAAGGTGGGGGGTCAGGGAGTGAGGTGGGAAGAAGCTGTCACCCTGAGTCTGCTGTCACCCAGAGCCACCCCTGACCTGGGCTTTCAAAGCTTTGGTGCAAGGTTGCTTGGGATCCCAGAGCCAGCAAGCCCTTAAGAAATCAATTTCAGTGCCTTTAAACTGCTGGGTGTAGCTTTGTCCCTTAAAGATCTTCAGAGAAAAAAAAACAAAACTCCCGAGGCACTATAATTGCTAATGTTGGCAGAGTGCTTCCTACATGCCAGGCCATTTCAGGACTTCATGTGTAATAAAAACACATTCACAGCGACCCTGCAGCATAGGTACTGTTGTTATTCCCATTTTGCAGGAGGCATAAAGAGGCCGGGTAACTTGCCCAAAGCCACACAGCTGTAAATGGCAGAGCTGGAATCCAGATGGCCCAGGAGGGCCCTAAGGTGGCAGGGAGAATGCTGGCCTGGCAGTCTGAAGAATGGGGTCTGGGCTGGGCACTACCCTTACTAAGTGTGACCTGGGCACGTCCCTTCACCTTTCTGTCCCCTCAGCAGGTAGAATGAGGTCAGTGCCACCTGTCTTTCCTGCCTCCTGCATTTGCTGTGAGAATCCCAGCAGATGCTTTATGGGCTGGAGGGGGATGTGGGGTGGAGGGATATGGTTTATGGTTCTTCCTGGCCAGGACTTGGTAAACTTTATACCTCCACAACTCTGCCCCCGTCACCATTTTTTTGAATTGTGTAAAACACATATAAAATTTACTCTTAACCCTAACCCTAAATGTACAATTTAGTAGTGTTAAGTGCATTCACTTTGTTGTGCAACCAATCTCCCAGACTTTTTCATCTCGTGAAACTAAAACTCTGTACCCATTAAACAACTCTCCATTCCCCTCCTTCCCTCGAGACCCTGGCAACCACCATTCTATTTTCTGTCTCTACGAATTTGACTTCTCTAGGCACCTTATATAATTTCCTTCCTTTTAAAGTCTGAATAATATTCCATTATATAAAGAATTCACAAGTGAACCCATCTAGGCCACGTACTTTCTGTTTTGGAAGGTTATTAGTTATTGATTCAATTTCTTTAATAGATATTATAGGTCTATAATAGGTCATTCAGATTGTCCACTTCTTTTTTTTTAAATTTAATTTTATTTTTGTTTATTTCTGGGATCGTCTCTTTCTTTTTGTGTGAGTTTTGACAGATTGTGCCTTTCAGGGAATTGGTCAATCAGATTTGTAGACTTGGGTTATCAAATTTGTGGGCGTAGAGTTGTTCATAGTATTCTTTTATTATCCTTTTAATATCTGTGGGATCTGTAGTAATGTCCCCTCTTTCACTTCTGATATTAGTAATTTGTGTCTTCTTTCTGTTTTTTTCTTAGCCTAGCTAGAGGCTTATCAATTGTATCGATCTTTTCAAAGAGCCAGCTTTTGGTTTCATTGATTTTCTCTTTTCAATCTCATTCATTTCCATATGGATATCTAGTTTACCCAGCACCAGTTGTTGGAAAGATTGTCCGTTCTGCCACTGAATGGTCTTGGCACCCTTGTCAAAAATCATTTGACCATATATGTGAGAGTTTATTTCTGGACTGTTCTATTGCATTGGCCTATTTGTCTTTATGCCAGTACCATACTGTTTTGATGTTAACTTTATAATAAGATTTGAAATCAGGAAATGTGAAATCTCCAAATTTGTTCTTTTTACAATTTTTTTTTTTTTTTTTTTGCTATTTGGGGTCCCTTGAGATTTCATATGAATTTTAGAATGGATTTTTGTATTTCTGCAAAAAAATACCATTGGGATTTTGATAAGGACTGCCTAAAATCTGGAAATCACTTTGGGTAGTATTAACATCTTAACAATATTAAGTCTTTCAATCCATGAAGATGGGATGTCTTTCCATTTATTTAATTTCTTTCAGCTATGTCTTGTAGTTTTCAGTGTACAAGTCTTCTGCCTCTTTATTTAAACATTTTATTCTTTTTGATGTTGTTAAATGGAATTGTTTTCTTAATTTCCTTTCCAAATTGTGTATTGTTAGTACAGGTTGAGCATCCCTAATCTGAAAATCCAAAATCCAAAATGCTCCAAAATTGAAACTTTTTTTTTTTTTTTTAATCCTTTTTGTCTTTTTTTGTGACCGGCAACGGATCGCAACCCTCAGTGTCGCGCCCATACCGGGCCGGGACCGGCCACTACAGCAGTGCGCCACCGGGCCGGCCCGAAAATTGAAACTTTTTGACTGCCAGCAGGACTCTCAACCAGATTTTTGTATTAGGGATGATCAACTAGTATGTATTCTGCAAATATCCTAAAATCCAAAAACATCCAAAATCTGAATCACTTCTGGTCCCAAGCATTTTGGATAAGGGATATTCAACCTGTATGTAGAAATGTAACTTATTTTCGTGTGTTGATTTTGTATCCTGCAACTTTGCTGAACAGTTTTTTTTAGTGTATAATCTTTAGGGTTTTCTATGTATGATATATCATCTTCAAACAGAGATAATTTTACTTTTTCCTCTCCAATTTGGATGCCTTTTATTTCTTTTTCTTATGTAATTGTTCAGACTAGGACTTCCAGTACTGAGTTTAATAGTGGTGAAAGTGGGCATCTTTGCCTTGTTCCTGATCTTTGAGGAAAACTCAAGTCTTTCACCTCTGAGTGTGGTGTCAGCTGTGGGCTTTTCATATATGGCCTTTATGAGGTTGAGGTGGTTTCCTTCTAGTCCTAGTTTGTTAAGGCACATTTTTGCCTTTTCCTTTTTCCTCTGACCTCAATCCAGATGGAGACCAGCTGCTCACCTTCCGTCATGTAATAACCCTTCCTGCACTTTAGGGTGGACACCTGAAGGAAGGCAGCTCAATTTTCCTTCTTCAGAGAATGTGCCCACAGTTCTCTCCCCTTTCCATTAATTCATCCAGTTACAATGCAGACCTTTGTTGAGGGCACAGTGTGAGCCAGGCTTGGGCACAGTGTTTTCTCGTCCACAGGAGGTTTCACATATGTTGTCTCAGTCTTCATAGGAGCTGTCTGAAATAGGAATTATTTCTGTCACCATATTCAGAAGCAGAGGTTCAGAGAGGCTGGCCCAAAGGGGAGCCAGCTCCCACGACCCCTTGCCTTAACAAATGAACCCCAACCCTTAAGCCATGTTGCTGGCCCCTGACCCAGATGGAAAGGGCCCAGGACCAATCGTGAAGTCTTCTTTGTCTCTTTGTGTTCACAGAGGTCCTGGACCTATGTCAAGAAGTGCAAGAACAACATGTGTCCAAATCGGGGCTTGGTGACTCAGCTGTCTGAATGGGAGAAGACTATCCTTGGAAATTCCATCACAGACATCTTGGATCTCTCCTACTGATCTCTGCAGCCCAGTGATGTGTGCTGAAGAACTCCACTTGGGGGCTTCTTGTGGGTAGATGGCTAGAGTGTGTACCCAGGTTGTCTGGAAGGAGAAGGCCTTTGCTGCCTGAAGCTTGTGTCAGCCTCCTGAACTGGTTCTTCCCAGGTGCCTTGTTCACTCCACACTGCAGGTACACTCTGCTCAGGCTCAGCGGAACCTGAATCCCTGGGGTGTCCTGGACCCACCTCACTGTGCTCCTGAGGCTGCCTCTGGAATAGAATCTGGCAGCTGGAGCAGCTGCTCCATTCGCCCCCTCCCCCCACCCATGACTTGTACCCTTTTGAGGCTGTCTGGGGGAAGCCCCAGAGGTTGCCTTATGTTGGTCCACAGGGGGTGTCACAATGCCCACCAGCCCAAGATGCCAGGCCCAGCCTTGGCCCAGGCCCCAGGCTCCAGGCTCCTGGAATGAGGGCACACCCTTGTCCCAGTGCTCCCCACCATACACCCTCTGGTCAGTGGGTACAGATTTCTTTCCAGTTGCTCTCCACTCATTTCTGCCTGACTGTGTTCACAAGAGTCCCACCCCTCCACCCCCGACACCCAGATTTCTAGAAATCCCTCAGGTCTTAAAGAGAGTTGTTTCCTGAAGGCACTTCTCCAGAGCCAGCAGCTGGCTGGAAGTCAGGAGAGGGCACAGACAAGGGGACTGGGGGGAAATTTAGGATGTACATCAATGCAGGGCCTTCCTTAAGTACATTTAGCAAATGTTCCCTGTCACCACCTGGGTCAGGCTGGGGACACAGAGGTGAATGCCATCCCACCTCCTAGGACTCTCTGCAGGATTTCCCCCACCTTCACCCCAACAGAAAGGCAAGCTTCAAGGAAGAGTGTGGTTTTGCCAGAGAGGGGAGGGCTTTTCAGGCCGTGCTGGCTTTAGTCAGGGTCTGGGTTGGAACAGAGTCTGGGATGGCTGCAGAGCAAAGGCTCCTCCTGGTAGGCAGGGCAGAGCCACTGGAAAGTTTTAAGCAGGGGCATGGTGGGGAATTAGCCTTGTGTTTTAGGAAGGGCAGTCTGGTGGCTGTGTGAAGGGGCAGCGAAGCTGAGCCTGAAGGCGGGCAGACAGTAAAGAGACCTCTGTAAAAATCCAAGCGAGAGAAGGGGCTCAGGATCCCTTTCCCAAAGAGGCGCAGCTTCCCAAGGACGACGGTGTCGGAGGCAGGTGTCACCTCCCTGACCCTGGCTTGCTCCCAGCATGACTGGACGCCCGAGCCACAGTCCAGGCCAGAAGCCGCCGGGCGCCGAGCCCTCCGCGCCTGGCCCCGCCCCGGGCCCGGATTGGCTCCGGCGGGGGGCGGC